CACAGCATTTTTTGGTGCAACCATCAACTCTTCCATCCACGTCCTCATGTACGGGTACTACGGCCTGGCTGCTCTGGGACCTCATATGCAGAAGTACCTCTGGTGGAAGAAATACCTCACCATTATTCAGATCGTGAGTGTGACTTTAAAGATAACCTGTTTTGTGGGTTGGGGTCATTTCTTTGGTGGTTTTTCCTCCTTAAAAGTATTTTTATTTCAAAATATGATCTGACTGATTATACTTTTGTCAAAGCATTACAGCTAGATAACAGAAAGAACTAGAAAAGACAAATTAGATACACTGAACAATACTGATTTCTGTCCATCAATGATAGTACTGAGAAAGATATGTCCAGTGCATAATAACTAATGTCTTATATTCATCCGTGGTTATAGGAATCCTTGTTTTCCAATTACATTCTGCAGGTTGATTGTGTTTTTACCACGATGTGGGCTCTTTTGTCGCCTAATTTTGTTCATACAATTTGTCTGTTGAACAGATCCAGTTCCACGTGACCATCGGCCACGCCGGCTACTCCCTCTACACAGGCTGTCAATTCCCCGCCTGGATGCAGTGGGCTCTGATTGGCTACGCCGTAACCTTCATCATCCTCTTCGCCAACTTCTACTACCACGCGTACCGACGCAAACCCTCCTCGCAGAAGGGAGTCAAGTCCGCGGCGAACGGCACCTCTATGGTAACTAACGGTCATAGCAAAGTGGAGCAAGTGGAAGATAACGGAAAGAGGCAAAAGAAAGGACGAGCGAAAAGGGAGTAAAGAAGGAAGAGGGCGTGCCCGGCGATTTAAAGAAAGAGGACAGTTGTTGGAAGGGCCAGAGAAGGAGGGAAGAGTTAGGTAAGGAATAAACAGAAAGCTTCCTCCTCCCTGCAAATAATGTAGAAGGATGTGATTTGTGACCAACTTGGGAAGCTGAAAGCATAGAAGTGTGTGTTTGTGTCTATAAGGGGTTTCGAGAAGGAAGAGAGGGGTGATGGTTGTCTCCATAAAAGTTGTTTTTTTTAAAAGCAAGATGCTGATCACGTATGTTCCGAGCTCTTCTGTCCAACTGTGTTCTGGACCGTCATAGGACCAACATATTAAAAAAAGGAACTACAAACTCAGCATCGTTGATCTTATCAACCAAGATTCACCTCCATCTTTTGTACTCTGGATTCCAGTATTGTTTTAACTGAAAGCTTAAATAGTCTTTAATATGCTTATTTATTTTCTAGTGCTCTAAAAGAGTTTTAATTAATTTAATTATTACCAACAAGAGAACATGCAGATGTTTATACCAAAGGGTTTTTCTCTGGGTTCGTGGGGAGATATTTGTTTACGAATACTTAGAGTTGAACAAAGTTAGGAGACATTCTCATAACTGCCATCTATTGTATTTAACTTTACAATTATCTACACCATCCACCAATCATATATGTCACAGACTTTCTCTGCTGTCTCAAGCTGATACAACTGTATGACATGATATTTACATTTTATTTCATGTTCATTGTGATTAAAACCTGGTTTAAAATACTTTGGGACAGTGGGATTGGTAGTTTCTTTGAGTATTTATGCAAATGTATGGGTATCTTTGTTATAATATTTGTATGTGGGTCCTCATCATTTATTTCTGTTTGCTGTGCGATGTAGCCGAGGTGCAAGAATAAGACATTTGAAATTCAGCTCAAAATCGTCTCACTGCCATGTTGGACTGAAGGGAAACTCCTCCTGAAAAGAGCTTTTTTTTTTTTTTTTTTTTAAAGAAAACAAATGGTAACTTCATTGTCTTATTAAGAATGAAGGCAACACAGCTTCTGGCTGCACATATAACTGAAATAAAGACAATGTCAGCACCCACTAGTTTACGTTTGTGTTTCTTTGTGTTAGTTTAAGTATGTTGTAAATCAGTTACTTTTAGGAAGTCAACGTATAGGATCAAGTTGTCACCCATTAAGGAACCTAATCTGGAGCCGAAAGCCCTCCCATCCTCCCTCTTACCATCTCTCACCTCATTCCTCTACTTCCTTCCTCCCAGGAACTCTTCTAGGTGTGTGTGAGAGGCAGAGGTAGGTGGCCTGTCCAGACAGATCTGCCCTAATCTTTGGGGGTAAATTGGCTTTAGCTCCAAAAGAGCTTATTTCCACGTCACTCCTTGAGTTACCATTTAAATCAGGTCACTGGGAGGGAAGCCTTTGCTAATCTGCCACCAGGTTGCTCCTGCGACTCTCAAACTGTATGGATTAGTTAACATTTAGCTTTGATACCGAGTCGATCTATTGAGCAAATGATTATACAATACTTCTGTGTGACAAGGGGCAGAGCAAAAAGAGGTGCATAATTGAACTAAGTGTGTTTTTTCCTACAAACAACCAAGTGCTTTGCTGTGAGTTTAATATCAGGGTTAATTTAAAGTGGACCTATCATGCTATATTTTAATAATATATTGTAGGGCCATACCTATATAAGGTATATTTATACGCTTTTTCAAAATACCAAACAGATCATGCATTTTAGCCATGCCTCATTTTGCTAACGGCAGCTGACCACGCCCCCCTGCAAAGGAGGGGCCCGAATTACGAGCGTCGTGTTACCATGCTGTTACCATGCCACGGCAACCTCTCATTCCCCTGATAGGTCAGCTCCTCCGTCCTGACGTCAGAGAAATGTTCAAATCTGGATCAGTCTGTATCAGATCCGTTGCAGCCCAGTTTTTAGAGATTTGGGTATGGAGGAAAAGAGAGAGGGTTGTGTTTTCTGACACCGGGGACACATATTCATGTATAAAAGACGTACAAAAGTGCATTTTGCATGATAGGTCCCCTTTAAGGAATTTCAGCAGATTCTTCAAACACACTGTATCCATTTCTTGAATACCCTGTGACAAACACACTATATCCCTTTGCTCTTTCACCGCATTCTGGATCCAGTAATGGCATCTATTAAATTATTCTTCCACTATCTTTTTCCTGTGCTCCAAAAAAAATTCAAATCACAACCATTCTGTTATTCTTGATACCACTGAGGGTTTTTTTGTAAGCCACTTTTTCCACATCCTTCAAACTACTCTACAGAAGGCTACATGCACTACTTAGCAGCCTTCCTTCTTATCCTAGTACACCACCATCTGTCTCTTTGAACCCATGGCATCAGGGTGGAGGTGGAAAACCCAAGGTGCAAGGGTGTAGACGTGAATGATAAACTGGATGAGGAGTACATGTCCTCCCGGGGACACGGAGGGATCTAAGCCAGGGACTAAGAGGATTGCAGAAGAGCCAAGGCTTTAGTACAGGTCACTATAACCAGCATCTCTTCTGCTAAAGGGGCATGCACACAGACACCAAGGTGAATTACAAAGCTTTGGCAACTCTCTTAAGAAACCTTTTAAAGTGTGAAACACATTGCTAGTTCCAAACATTTTTACTTTGTCCATGCCTTGGAAAATGTGCAGCAAATAGACATCTCTTCTGAAGAGCATACTGACCCATTCTGAGAGAGCGAGTCTGTTAGAGGGTGAAGGGTCAGATTGTCAGGGGTTAAATCTCTGCAAACCTGGCCCGTCACTTACTCATCTCATTAGCAATTATATGACTAAGGCGCTCATTCTATCCGAGCAGAGTGGAAACAGTCAGCGTTTTACTGGCTCTCCGTCTGCGCCCGACTCTGTTTTGTCTGTGGAGAGCACCCTCTGCTGGGACTGGATTTAGTTACAGTACATGTTGTGATTAATGACCAAAGTGGGTGAGGCATATTTTATGTACATGCTGGGAATCTTTAATACATTAAACTCAGTATTGTCAAGCAAGAAACAAATGTATTGTAAAACATGAAATTAATGTGACATTTCTGCATTAAAATGTCTAAAAACGACTGTTTTGCATATTTTTGTTAAGTTATGTTAATATTAAACTAGCCCAAATGGTTCAAATAATTGTAAACCTATGTGACATTTTCTCAGACATAAGGATGGCACCTTTAAAACTACAGGTGCAGGTCTCCCTTGAAAAAGAGATCTATGATCTCAATGGGACCAATCTGGTTAAATAAAGGTTTGAAATGAAATGACAGAGGATATTACAACTTTTTTTACAGGGATCAAATAGGTGGACCCTTTACTAGATGTTATAATGCAGGAGAACATATACTGTGTATATATATATACTGTACTGTATATGCAACGCACCTAGACTGATCCCTATTGATCTGTTTAAAGTTTCATGAACCTCATTTTGGAGTATTGTGATTTGGGTTTGTGCCTTATTGACATTATCTTACACTTTTTTGTTGCTCTCTTCCCATTTTGATCTTATCAAGTTGCACATTAGTTAATAATTGATTTATTGCACTCCAGCCCTGCCTTCATTTAAAAGTATTAACTTATGTTATAATACATTTAAGTGAATATTCCTCTCTTGTAAATGTTTGTTGTAAAAGGATATAACCTCTACTTATTTAATGTTTATCCTTACACTGTAAAGCATTTGCCACCTGCTTTAGAAATACTGTTCTTATTTAGCAATGGAAATTGAACTTTTTAGAAAGAGATACAGATGTGGGGGTGGCTGTTTACTTCCTGGTTTGACGTACATCCTCACGTCAGTTGTCCGGTGCCCCTGCAGTGCCTGGTGGTGCCCTGTGTCAGCGACTCTGCTTAATACTCTGCGGTAAGAATGCACCCATTGGAGCTCTGTGAGATGCATAAGAGACTTTTAAAAAGAATATTTTTTTCAAGTGTCGTTGAATGGATGTTGTTGCAAAATATAAAGTCCATAAGTTCTGGAGTAAACAAGTAGACCCTAAAGTTATGGGTCATAATAAGTGAAGTGTGCGCAATCGCAGAAAAGCTCTGGTGGCATTCTCCTCTACTTTAACTCTCTAGTATAAATATTACAATTGGGTTACCTTATGTAATTGAACAAGTTTGGAGCTGCTGTGCTATTTAACTTCATGATAAACAACTACAAACCATCGCCCATGTTTGGAGTTTGAGTGCAGCAGAAAATGAAGTCTGCCGCCGGCGGCGCTGCAGCTGCTCCATCACCGTCATCATCAGACAATAGCGCAAGGAGGAGGAGGGGGCGGAGGCAGCACCGGGATCCCTCGCCGGCTACAGCCCAGGAAGGGGCAACCAAGCGAGCTCGGAGACACCCAGCCAGGCCCGGATCTCCTCTTCCCGCTGGAAGTAGCAGAAACACCGGGGCGAGGGAGAGTTTGAGGTCCGCTGACGGAAGGGAGAGGGAGCCAGAGAGGCGCGGCGGAGCAGCTGTTCACCCGGATGGTGCTGAAGCTGATGTAGTCAGAGCAAACAGGGCGGATGCTGTCGGGGAAGCTCCGACAGATTCATCAGCATCGGCCCGTCGCTCTGTTTTACCCCTGCCCTGCCTCAAAGGTGATTCCTCCCGGCCTTTGTTGCCCAGCAGAGGCTCGTTTTCCTTCCCCGCGGTGGTGAGAGAGGGGACACCCGGAGAGGAAGGCGGCAGGAGCCGGGAGAGAAGCGGCGCGTCTGCGGGCTGCGGCCTCGCCTCGTTGGGTCTGTGGAGAGGAGGATGCTTGCAGGCTGAACTCATCCAGTTCCATCTGCAGAAGAGACTAAGAAGAAGCGGGGCGAAGATGCAAACCAAGACCGAGAACATGGGGCCAGAGGAGGCCGCAGAGGGAGAGCCGGGGCCGGCTGCAGAGGAGACAGAGGCGGGGTCCGTGACACAGCAGGACCAGGCCTTGGAGGACGAGGTGGAGAGGCTGCTTGACGAAAATGATGATCTTAAGGTTGGTAACATGCTATTTTTATGCAGACTGATGTTTCGTCATCATCTAGGGAGGATTTAGACAAACAATACAATGTATCACCTCCCCAGAATCCATTGCAACACAGTCGACATTTGTTTTTTTCATATTAGGGTGACAGATAAACCATGTTTAGGCCTATTTGGAGTCTGTGGCCCTGTTAACCCTGGGGCCAACCACTCTGGACTAAATATTGTGTTTGCAGTGTTCTAAATGAGTAAACATCAATTGATTTGTCTGTTCAACATCCTATATGTATTCACAGAACATAAAGCTAAGACCTAAGTTGGAAAAACACAGACTACTAATGAGTAATTGGTTATTGATCCCATCTGTATCGATCAGATAGGATCAATGATATGTTGTGTCAAAATGAGCGACAAAGGGAGTGAAAGGCCATGATTTGCATGTGCCATGTTGGCATAGAAAACCCAAATGAAGCAAAATCCCGCCTAGTCTTTTTGCACAAAGTAAATTCAAACTATATTTTTATGAAGTCCAAAAAAATCCAATACAAACTCAGGGAAGTCAAAAGTCAACAGAAAACAGTAGAGTTTAGTCTTCATTTAAAATAATCTAACAACTATGACACGTTATCTTTATAATGCACCTGCCAGTGTGAAATTGAGGAAATGAGGGCCGAGATGGACGAGATGCGAGACACATTCTACGAGGAGGACACGTGTCAGCTGCAGGAGATGAGACGTGAGCTGGAGAGGGCCAATAAAAACTGCCGGATCCTGCAGTACCGTCTGAGGAAGGCGGAAAGGAAGAAGCTGCGCTACGCTCAGACGGGAGAGATCGACGAGGAGCTGCTCAGGAGTCTGGAGCAGGACCTGAAGGTGCGAGAGGGGAGGGGAAGGTGCTAGACCCCCTGTGTGTCTGTCTGGGAGCAGGATGTGTTTGCAAGCTGTTAATGTAGTCACAAGCACAGGTGAAAACACCCCAATGTGGGTCAACTTAAATGTAAACATAATCAAAAGTGAAGATCAAACATGAATATCACTGGAAATGAGTGTGCATATTTATATTATTGATGTCCTCACATTCATTTAACCATAAAGGTAGCGAAGGATGTGTCTGTGAGGCTGCACCATGAGCTGGAAAAGGTGGAGGAGAAACGCACAAAGACCGAGGATGAGAATGAGAAACTGAGACAGAAACTCATAGAGGTGGAAGTGACCAAACAAGCCCTGCAGAATGAACTGGACAAAACCAAAGAGGCAAGTAAACCCTGGCCGACACTAAACCACGTCACGTGACATTAATGAGCACAAAATAACTCAATTTTGTGTTCTGCTTAAGCTATCATCACAAATGCTGTGGACGTTTTGGTATAGTGCACTTTAGGATGTAAATGCTTTGTTTTATATTACAAGTAGAGTGTCAGAGTGTAAATGGGATAAATACACACAAAGAAAACAAAACCAAATATTTCTGTATTCTGTCTCAACATTCTCAGAAGAGAAGAGGAAGCAAGGACATCCAGAAGACTGACAGGAAACCATCACAAACTCCTACCGAGGTGAGGTTTTCACAATAATCCATATTCTTGCCTCATGTTTCCCTAAGGAGCATCTGCTATCCTCTTTGCATAATCTGTTTTCCTTTGGCCCCCTTGTTGCATATTTGTGAGAGGGTGACATCAAGGCTTTAATTACATGCTCACATTATGTTCTCACTGTTTTGCTTTTCAAGCTCTGTGGCCACAACCGGCCAAAGCAAATGCTCCCATCATTTGAAATTAATGTATATTCAAATGAAAGCTGAGAGTTTGCAGAGATCCAGAAATTACACACTTTAGTATTTACAGTCTGTGCTATCTCCATCTCCAGGAGGTCAATGAGGACCTTAAGTGCCAGCTAGCTTTTATCAAAGAAGAAGCAGTGCTTATGAGGAAGAAAACCGCCAAGATTGACAAAGAGAAGGACCGTCTAGAGCAAGAGCTGCAGAGGTACCGCTCCTTCTATGGCGAACTGGACAGCACCCATCATAAAGGAGAGGCTGGGGGTCCGCCCACCACCCGTGAGTCAGAGCTCAAGTTACGGCTACGCCTGGTGGAGGAGGAGGCCAACATTCTGGGGAGGAAAATAGTGGAGTTGGAGGTAAGAGCAGACAATGCTACATGGGTCTATAAAAGGGAGTGGTGAATGGTAATCATGTGAGATTTGATCCATCTACCCCACAGGTTGAAAACCGTGGGCTGAGGGCCGAGCTCGACGACATCCGTGGGGAAGGAGAGGGCGCAGGAAGCTCTGAGGGCGGAGCGATGGGTGGGTCTGGCTCAGGGCGAGGCCTTGGAGATGACCTGACGGAGCTCCGACAGCAGCTGCAGCTGGTGGAGGACGAGGCAGAGCTGCTGAGGAGGAACCTGGCCGATGTTGAAGATCAAAACAAGAGAGTGACCACTGAGCTGAACAAGTTACGGTTCAAAGCCGGAACCCATGAGGGAGGCAGCAGGCACGGGGGAGGCCTCGATGGAGCAAAGGCGGAAGCCCTGCAGGAGGAGTTAAAGGCAGCAAGGCTACAGATTAATGACCTAAGTGGCAAGGTATTGCAAGTTGATGGATAATATTGACAAATATTAGGTTAATATTTATTTTTTCTGAAATTCTTTACTTTAGTCCTAAAATAAAAAGTAGGATATGTTGTTAAGCCTTATTTCTAATCTCATTGTGTCTTATTTTGTAGGAATGTTGTCAAAGCTAGTTTACAGTCATGCTAGCAGCTAAATTCAGCTAAATGCTAATGGTAGCATGGAGCATGGTAACACTGACAATGCTAAAATGGTGCTTTATATATTGTAGTTTATACTTATTACATGTTGATATTTTAGTAAATTACCATGACTATGCTGGCATCTCTGCTGTTTTGAGTACAAAATCTCATTCTCATCACCTCTCTGTTGTTTTTTCAGGTGATGCAGTTGCAGTACGAGAACCGTGTGCTCCTATCTAACATGCAACGCTATGACTTGGCCTCCCACCTCTCCCTGCGGCCCAGCCCGCGGGACAGCGACGCAGAGAGCGATGCGGGCGGAGCCACAAGTGGTCGCCGTGAGAGCGATGAGGACTCCTCCTCGCGCCTCGTCCCACCCCACCGCAAACGCGAGGGCCCTGTAGGTGGGGAGAGTGACCCAGACGAGGTCAGAAACACTAACGGAAGCAGCCGCTGCCTGACGCCCACAAGGGGCCTCTACACCCCCACCGGGCCTGAGGGTGCCGCCTCCTCCCCCTTGGCCCGCTTCCTGCCTGTTGGCCGGTGCAGCCTGCTCGAAAGGCAACACATGACTGACATCCGCATGGAGGCTGAGAGGCTTGTTCGGACCATTGACCGGCTCATCGCTGATACGGCCACGATCATCTCAGAGGCGAGGGTATTTGTGACAAACGGTGACCTGATGTTCAGGAGAGGAGGGGAGGAGGGCGGAGAGGAAGATGGCAGCCGGATCAGGGAACACGAGCTTCTGTATCGTATTAACGCCCAGATGAAAGCCTTCCGGAAAGAACTGCAGACGTTTATAGACAGACTGGAAGTGCCTCGACCCGAGGGCAGGGAGACAGAGGAACCACTGTCGGTGAGACAAATGTTAAAAAATGTTCATACGGTGCATATAAAATATCTCAAAGAGTTTAATGCTGATTCTGTTTCTTCCCTTCTCCACTTAATCCGACCTCCTGGTTTGTCCTCCGCCCAGATGTTCCAGCCTATAATTTTGCTCATCCTCATACTTGTGTTATTCTCGTCCCTCTCTTACGCCACCATCTTTAAACTAGTCTTTCTTTTTACTCTTTTCTTTGTTCTGTGATGTACGCCTCCCTTAATTCACATCATTCCTTGTTTGTTTTTGCTCTGTTGTTTTCCATTCCTCCCCACATTCTTTGTTGCCAAGGTAACCAAAAGCACAGAAAAAGCTCAGCACTTGCCGAGGCTGCAACCACATTCAAGAAAGTGCGGCTAGATTCAACACCGCAGTCTATATTATTCATTACACATCACTGTCCACGTCTATCCCTAAAGAAGGTGAGTTACAATGTGTCACTGAACAACCCAGTCTCACAGCATTTCGTGTTATAGTCACGACCTTTAATCTATTGATTCGTGTTCACCAACAAGATTTTCCCCTTTTTTTCGTGTCACACAGAACGATTTTAAAAGCAATGTATTTCTATTGGTAGTGTGTTTTGTGCCTGCAACACGTCTTTTTGTCCGGTCGGGTCTTGGAAGACCGGAAGCTGTGTGGAATCTCTTGTATAATATTTAGTATTATATTTTGGTTCACACTAGAAATATTTTATATTTAATTTTTCACTATTTATAATTTTTGAAATATCTTTTACATTTTGAAAAAAAACGTTTTCCCATAGGATTCCATAGAAAATGCATGCGGGTCAGTTTTGACACACTTATGGAAGCTTGGGGTAGTAATACAAAAACTACAATTTCTTAAAATGTAAATTAAAAATGTGAATGGCATGATATCCAAAACATGTTTTTTGAGGAATAGCTGGAATATGAAATGATACATTTTTTTAAATTACAAAGGTACTTCAAGAAAACCACCTCACCGGGTCCAAAAAGACCCACTTATGGAAGCTTGGGGTAGTAATACAAAAACTACAATTTCTTAAAATGTATAAAATGTAAATTTAAAATTAGAATGGCATGATATCCAAAACATGTTTTTTGAGGAATAGCTGGAATATGAAATGATAAAAAAATGTAATTACAAAGATACTTCAAGAAAACCACCTCACCGGGTCAAAAAAGACCCACTTATGCATCTAAGGGTTAATTAAAGGTGCAATTGACAACAATAAAAACATTCAGCCACTAGATGGCACACTACCCCTCCCCCCTTTTATCGAGTCACAAGAAAGTGATGCCAGTTTGATGCACAACCTGCATTTTTCATTGACAGTTTTTGTGTACGGCCAAACAAATTTAAAACCCTGTTTTTCTTCACCAACTAGCAAATACTATGACTCTTGATCACTACGTGATACCAACGTCGTTATACTATTGTCTCACAAGCCCGGTTAGCGAAAGGCAGTGGCGGCAAAAATCTTTTCAGTATCTTTCACAGAAATAGAAATCAATAAACCTTACAAAAATTACAACATTAGAACAATGAGCACTTAACTTCAAGAGAGACGAGTTATAGGTGTTGGTAAAAAAAAAATAGATTCTCTCAGCAATGCTAACTCGAGAGATAAAACAAAGAAGGCGGGCTACGATAGCACTTGTGGCTGTTGACATTTAGTTTGTCTTGTAAAATCCATAAAAGAGCAGCCTTATAGATTAAATAATTATCTAACACTACCTGGTAGAGAGGTTAGGAGAGTGTTGTTTAAAATGTTGTTAGGCTCAGGATGCTTATGTAATATCCTTTTCTATCTTAAGTTGGGATAGGAACATTAACATAGGAATCGTACATTTTAATTTTAGGTCCTAATCGTGATTACCATGGTAACCAGACAGTTAAAATAGGGTTGGCAAGTTGAGAGCAATAATGACATCTCAACCATAAATTGGAGCATAAGAATTCACAAAAAAGCAGGAAAAGAAAAACTGGATGAGGACCCCCACCGTCCCCCCCTTGATATTAACCCCACCCAAAATGTTGTGACAAACCTTTGCCTTACATAATGTGGTATAGCATTGCTTACATCGAGGTTTAAAGGTCGCAAGGCTCTAAGGGAGGAAGTATTAATCAACTTTCCATGCCACTATATGTCCTGGTTTAACCTTGTTTCTAAATATATTTGATCTTGTAGCATGTTATGACAGCAGTCACCTCTTCCTTGTTTTTCAGAATGACACTTGATGCACCACCCCCTGTTGTTGCCTCAAGGTAAAGTAAGGAGAAAGTTTGTTTTTACCCCCTCTCCTTGACTCCTGGGGGATTTGTCATAGGGAACACAACAGGTGGAGGAATAATGGCAATGATCCCGTGGCTTTAAACTGGAAGGAATTCTGATGATAACGTCAAGTGCCAAATGTTAGATCTTGTCCAAGGGGACAAGTCAAAGATCCCAGTGGGACCCCCAATTAGAGGCAGGCATTAGTAATTGATGGTGTGTCAGCAGCAACTGTTTTGGACGAGTCAAAAACAAGGTCTCAGCTACAGGTTACTCCAGGACATGTCATGACATTTTACACATTTTGCGCTTTTGAAAGATAGATGTGTAAGAAAAATATTTCATAACATTAAAATGCCGTGGCCTCCTGAAGTTTAGTTCTTAAAAAGGAATGAAATGTTGCCTAACATGCCAGGAACGCACCTTGCCGTTTCCTCTTCGTGACTAACTTCAATAAAGATATTATTGACAGTGTGACACATTATTACTAACCTTGTCACACACACTCTATTGGCATCTCTTTGAAAATGATTTGCAGTGGTGCATGGTCACAAGGCAAAATCTGCCCTAGCATCCTAAAGGAGAGTAGCAACAGAGAAGCCCATTGGCCGAGAGATCGCAGCAGCTGAAATAGCTATGTAAACACTTTCCCTCTCTCCGTGAGCCCCAGTAATTATAGCCAGGATGCTGGTGACGACAGTTGTCCCATCGAGACTTCAAATGGGGGAATAAATTTGACATTATGATATTTGATACCGGCTCCAATGGCGCGCCCACGTAAACAGTAAGGCGCGGTATAAAGGCTGGGGACCCCGGCTGGAACAGAAATTGTTTACCCTTTAGCTCAGCGATCAGGACTTAACACCGAGGCGTGACTAGGAGAATCAGGGCCCTTTAAATCCAGTCCAAGGGGTTATACGTAATACAGAGGTGGAAACAAGCGAGGGAAGCACCGGAGAGAGGAGACTTCACGTTTAGGCGCTGTGTTGGAGAGTCCGGAGCGCAAAGCGCGCGGGAGGTAGAGCAGACTGAGGATTTATACTGGAGCATTGAACACGCTTATGTTGAGCAAGGTAAGAACAGCTGTTTATAATGAGGCGGAAGTGTAGCTTTAATGCTAATTCATCGGATTTATGGGGATCATTTCGAATTAATGGTACATAAACTGAAAGTATACAAATTGAGACTGCATGCATGGCAAAGCCTGATGTTGAGTCTACTGTTGTCTTTTTTCAGATTACTTACACTTTTTTTTCAATATCTATTCCATATACCATGTTGAATTTTCTCATCGCACTAGTAGCCTACTGTACTTTTATCTGTCCCCCTCCCATGCGCACAGGCCACGCCGTAGGTTTACTATGCATAGTTACACGATTATGAATATCTCTCCTGTTGCATCACAAGTGGGAGGGAAGTGGCTGGTACATTCGGGCACCTTCATTAGGATACTTGTCATACTTTAATGATGGCAACAACATCAACAAAGCCAGGGGCTGCACAATAATAGTTAGTCCTCGCTTTGGGATCATGATGGCATCAATATATTTTGACCAGACCACATTGACAGTGTTTAAAAGTACATCTGAGGGGCAACTTTAGAGATTAAGTTATATTTTTCTCTCCATGTTGGGAGACATACAGAGTCAGGCTGGAGGTCAAAGTGGACAAAAGCTGTCATGACATACTTACACGACTATGCATTTTTTTAAGAATGCAAAAGAAGAAGTTGGTGATGTCTGACCTTTGTTAGGCCAGAAATTGACCAAAAAGCCCTTTAACTACAGGCAATTAAAAAAAAGGGGGCAATTATGTTTCACTTGATTAATTGGAACCTCAATCAGGTGTTATTGGCACTGGTGCAGTATGCTTTATGCTGCCTTGTGTTGAAGACATTGAAAAAACAGCATTGTGAATGGTTGTCGAAATGTTCACTTGTTTAAAGCAAAATAATTTGCACCAAAAATGTGTATTTCATAAAATATACTAACAGTCCTTTCCCCCCACCATGTGTTTTTCTCTACAGTGTTTCCTGGCCATTGATCCCTGAAAACCTAGGGTAACATCTGACAGTAAAGTGAAACAGGAGAAAGGGGAAATTGGCATTTAAAGGGGCCTCTGGGTATTGACCGGCCTGCGTCATGGCAGCCATTGATCTGGAGCGTGGGCTGGAGCACAGTGGCAGGGGCTGGGGGCAGGAGAGGCCGGAAGTGATGGACAACTTCGATTCAGAGATGCAAGAGTGGGAGGACCAGCTTCAAGACATCCAGCAACAAATCGAAGAGGTAAGATTTTGTTAAAGAAAATTAAGTCTCAATTAAGTCTCATTCTTCAACTGGACAAGTTGCATTTAAGAAAATGGATTATTCCATGCTGCTCTTCGCACTAAAAAAACACATTGTATCTAAACATGACACATACAGCGGGTCTATGCAGTGTGAATCTAATGTGAAGGACAGTTGGGGTCAGTGATTCTGCATAATACTATACCTAGGAATGTAAATATATAGAGGTAAAATTCACCAGCTTCACTAGTGTTCAAGGTATTTCTGTTTTCTGGCGGTAACTGCAGAATTTAGTTATGCAAATATGTTCATGAAAGATAAAGAAATGCATAAAAGGCATAGTCTTCTTTTGCTTAACAGTGCAACAGTTTTCACCATGTACACACACACACACACACACACACACACACACACACACACACACACACACACACACACACACACACACACACACACACACACACACACACACACACACACACACACACACACACACACACACACACACACACACACACACGATACTAAACGAGTATTAAAAGTCGTGATGGGAAATAGATGGTTGTGCAAAGTGGAATAACATGTGCCGGTTATAAATATAGGTTAGGTTTTTTGATAATTATAAAACTTGCTTGTTGTGTAAACACAGTTCCTGTCATTCAGCCGTGTTTTGCATGTAGTTGGGTACAACATGTGGAAGTAGGAAGTTGTTTATGTGTCCTTCTGTTTCAATCTTTGCAGTTGTACAATGGAGTCCAGGCTCGAAGAGGAGCAAACGATATCCCTACTGACAACCAGAAAAATGGCAGCGAGTTGGAGTGCGGCCTGGGGCACCATGGCAATGGTCACTTTGCGCCCGGACATAACAACAAGAATCACCCCGGAGCTATATCTGTGCCACATCACTATAGTAACAGCCGTAACTACAGCCCCAGTGGGTACAGCTACCCCGGGAGTCATCAGAATGGCTATGGTTATTGCAACGCCAACTCAGAGATCGGAGACTTGTTGCAGGATTATTTGGAGCAAGGGAAGCAAATAAGCCAGAAGAATAACGGAGCTCGCCATGTGGTAAGTGGAGGCATTTTAAGCATTTCCCTGCCCGAATGCATCATTGTGTTGGCGTCTGCACATATGATGAAACCAAACACGTGATAAGAGTCAAAGCTGGGGTTCAGTTGGGAACATATGCATTACAGTTAGTTGGTTCCTTCCAGTCTGCTTACAGACAGGTTACCACATTGGCGTTAGTTTCACATACTTTCACCAACTCCTGACAAATTAGGCAAGAAGGAAGCCAAGACATTAAACTGTTTCCTGTTACACATTATAACGTTCAAGTATAGTAGATGACAGTTAGGAGTTCTTTATCGTGTGAGGATCAAGGGTCAGCCGAGGTTCTGTTTGAGTAAGTTACAGTAAACAGAACATTGCCATTGGGGGATCTTGAAGTATCACTCTTGTTAAAAACTATAAATATAGTAGGTAGAGATTAATATGATGATGGATATGGTGATTTATTTATATTTTACCATTTCTTTCAGCGCTTCAGCGACACAATCAAGGACAGCCCGGTGACAGAGATCAAAAAAAGTTCTGGAAATGAAAGGTAAGTGCCACATTCAAGAACCTTTTGTAGAATTACGTGATGGGTTTGGGATATACCTGTTAATTCAATTTTTGTCTTCTTTGGTTTGGTACAGGCTTGGTCAAGAGCAGTTTGTGGGCAATTTTGAGGAAACTGAAAACAGAAGGAACCATGTGTCTCACCTGAAGAGCTCCTCTCGCAGAGAGAGTTCCCCCAACAAAGAAAACACAGGCTCGAAACCTCCTCTTGGACAAAGAGATGCCCCTGCTGGTCAACCACGCTCACAGCTCCCAACCACAAAAGCTGAATCTCCGGCCCTGGACAGGAAGTCCTACAGTCCTGGCGTCATGGGAGACAGGAAGTGCGGCAGCCCTTCTGTCCTCAGGAAGTTTGGAGCCATGCTTCAGGAAAACGAGGGCAAAACACTGACTGAATCAGGGGTGGTGACCAATCAGGGGCCGGCTCCGGAGCCAAAGTGCCCAACCCCTAGCTGTCAGCGCAGAGCTCAGGGAGCCACTGCAGTCGCCAGCAGGGCGCCCATGCGCGTGCCTACCCAGAAATGCCGAGCAGATTCCGACGTGCTGACAGCAGAGATAGAGCCCGGCCAAGAATGGGGGCTCATATCAGACTCTGGTAGACAGAACCACAAGGATCACAGAGGAGCCTACAAAGGGTCCCAGCGGGGTCCTCAGCTGTCCCCGAGGAGATCACCGGTGATGGGAAGCCCAAAGCTTAGACCCAGGGCTAACAGTGGGGGAGACAGAGATGGAGGACTGGCTCAAGGGGAGAGAGGAAGGAAGCCTGCACCCCAACATGCAGAGCCCAAAATGGACTACAGGGCCTCAAGTGCTTCCTCTGGAGCTCAGAAGATCCAGAGGGGTGGGTTAGCGGGACAAGAGTTGGCAGGTTGTGGCAAAGTGAGGGATGAAGGACTTATTGAACTGCTGGACATGTTGGATATCCAACACGAGTACAGCTCCAGTCCCAAAGCGAGACAAACAGCTTACAGACAGGATCCACAGCAGGTAGGTTTTTTTTTAGCTATAGTACAATTGTTAAAAAGCTACCAGTGATGATGTACAAGCTAACATGTTTGCCATTACGTCTTTGTTCAGGTAAACCCAGACCAGTCGTCCCCTGACAATCTTAGTAAATGCTTCTCTCGTCCTGCACGGCCAGCCAACCAACGACCTCCTTCCAGGTGGGCCGGCCGCACCCCTACCGCCATCATCACCACCCCATCAGGCCCAATGTACCGTCCCCCAAGCCCCCTGGCTCGCACATCTAGCCCCATGACCAGAACCCCAAGTCCCGCGCTGAAGCGTCGGCCCCATGTTTCCTATTCTCTTCAGACTGAGACGGTCATTATGTGATACCTGTCCATTTCAGATTAAGCTTGATCCCTTCCTCCTCTCTCTGTGTAAATAGTAAGGACTTTTTCTGTGAAACAAAGTGCTTTAAGAGAGTTAAAGATACGCTTAATTTCATCTTGATGCCATGTTCAAGAAAAAAAAACATTCTCCAGGGTTGCTGTGGCTTTTTGCTTCTTCTGTGCTGAAACACATTAACAGATTGCTTAGTTGCAGCCCTCCCCTTATCCTCTTTTTGTATTAAATTTCAGGTGTTTTCTGTATAATGAGATTTTGCATGCAGCCCTAGTTTAAGGGTGCATGCTCATGTGTTTAATCCTCATGGCGGCCATGTTGAATCAAATTCAACCTGGACTCCAGTAGGAGTAGATGAAGTCGCAACTGTGCTCCCAGCAGCAATCTGCTTACTATCAACATCAGTGTGTTTTTCTGTATCATATTGTTAAAGTAATATATTTGAGATGTTGGAATAACAGCTGTGACAAATTGCTATGATATGCCTTTAATGTATTTTTTTCCTTGGTAATAAATATGACAGTGCTTTGACGTAAAGACTCTTGTCTTTGTCTATGGCGGCACTGCATTGTTCCATTAACGATTGCTCATATTTCATGATTTACTGCATGTCAAGCCTATGGTTATCTGATACAGGCAGCCCTCTGCATGCCAGTGCAGTTGCAGTTGCAAATGAGCTAACTATCCACCAACTTCAACACATCAACTGGGTCAAACATACCTGAGGAACTGCATGATCAGGTATGGGACAAGTTACAGATTGTCTAATAAAAGCAGGGTTTTTGAGGTCCATAAATTGCACAGCACTTGGATTACTTAGATTTAATTATATATTTGTAAGCATTAATCGTGCATAGTGTTGGTTCAAAAGCAATTACGTAATCGGTCGTTAGCACGGTTGCCCAGTGTGCAGCACACACACACAGACATTTTGTAGCAATAGGGATCACTTTTCATGCTCAGTGTTTCTCGCCTCTTAACAACCTATGGCTTCCCTGACACCTCCTTCACTGAGGAAGGTGACAAAACACACCCTCTCAGCTTCTCCCGTAAACACGCAAAATATATCTTGCCGTTTTCTCAACGTTAAAAAAAACTTTTGTACACAAAAGCACATATATGCTCAGCCACACATTCATACAAACACACTCTGCTCTGAAAGAGGTGGCCAAAGTGTGAAATGCCACATAAAGGCTGTGAGGGTGTACGGAAGTACATTGGCCTGGTGATGCCTCATCCCTGTCACCCTACCTCTCGGTGCTATGTGGCACCTCATACGGAAATAGCAAGCGTGACGTGTGTTTTGGTGCCAGAAATCTTACCCTGCTGTCTTTGGGGGTATAAATAAAGAGCGGGAGGGGGACGTTGGTTCCTCTCTCTGCCCCCCGATCTCTCTTTCATCTTACCCGTACCCTTTTCTGCATGTTATACCAAATCATTTTTGACAGATTGGCAATATAGTAGTTTGCTCTGTCCTCTAATATCGCCTCTATCTATTTGTCAATTTGCAAATAATGATCATTTCTGTGTCCTATTCTCAATGGTTTTAAAGGCAGTATCTTCCCCTTATCTACTTCTCAGCTTCTTTTTCTATTCACTCCCTTCTTACATATTCTGCCTCTACTCCAACTTCTGTAAATGAGAGCCCATTATACTGTTTGGCACCTCCTTGGACTGCATGAGGTTATTTTAACAAGGCGTTATGTTGGCCATCCCTCCTCTGTCCTCATCAGGCCCCCTGGTGACTCTTGGCAGGTTGCTGTCTGCATGCTACACACCAAATACATATTCTGTGGTGTGCATGTTTTCACCCTCCACTCCCTTTTTTTTACCCTGCTTCCCTGACTGAGGACACTCTTTGCATACAGCATGCAGAGCTTGGCACAGCATGTCCTCCACTGGACAGGCTATATTCATGAGAGCATAGACAGAGGGAGAAAGAAAGAACATGAGAGCAGACAGCTGAACTGTAGCCATGGCTCCCCTGACGTCAGAGGACCATGTTGTCACACCCACTCTGACGCCGGAAAAAAATAGTTTGGATCCCAGCACAAAAGACTTCTAGGACTACCTCTACAGTTACACAGCTTTTATAATTGGCTTTTGTAATCCTGCACAGATACAATCATACAAACACATTTATGAAGGTAAAACACCATCTGTACATAGATAAGGCCTTCTCTATGACATCTGGGTTTGAGTTGCACTTGTTCTCATGGCTTTGATCATGTTGTTCTGCCATCATGAAAGGTTAATTAGACTAAGTTTGTGGGTGTCATCATGTGTGCGTGTGTCTACAAGGCATTCATTGATGTCACTAAAGGCAAAGTGATGTTCCGCATATAAATCTAACCTGTTAAAACAATAATAGCTAGTGACCCTTCGTTTTACAGTCTTCAGGACTGAGGTTATCCTATGGTAACACTTAAGGTCTTGTTTAGACTGCCAGAACAAATAGTTTATTGGCATATCCAAATCGATTAAAAAAAAGTCTAAACAGTAACGACTATTCATAGTGAGCTGAGCAGAATCCATTGTACTGCTAGAATAACGCTATGGTAGAGACGATCAAGGAGTTCAACAGTCCATGACAACACCAGGCTCCTAAAAATGTAATTATGGATTTGGATTCATTTGTAGGAATGTATGTTCATCATATGCAAGTCATTTATTCCAGCTGCATCCTGCTAAGGCCTTGGTTGTAGATACCTATTAATACTCTTTAATTAAGACTTACTTTAGCTTGGGAATGAGTTAGCAAGACATGTTGGCAACACTTGCTTTGCACAATGTTGGTAAAAGACACTTAATGAGGACATAGAGGGCTGTTAGATTGTATTGTCAGCAATATGCTGACTTGGAGGATGCTATCAACTGTTTTATCAATTGGAAGAATCTGAAAAACGTAATGGTTACCTGTGGATGTATTAACTTGAAACAGGAGCACTGCACTTTATAATTTGGGGAGAAAGACTTGTGTGTGCTGCTAGCTGTCTAGACTCCTCCTGTGTGCACAAATAAACCAAAATGTTAGAATAGGTTGTTGAAATTGACAACCCAAATATCTTGTGCGATCAAATAAAAAAATGTTTTTCTCTCTTGAAGATGACTCGGGCTCCGTTTTGCTGGTTTAACCAAGATAACAAAAAATAACAAAAAATAACCCATTACCAAGAGAAAAAGTTATTCAGAGAAAGATAGTCAACAATAGAAAATAAATTATTGTAACAATAGATAATTTTTGTAATAACATGGCATGGAAAGGGCATGATGTTTTATGTTAACCCTGGTAATTCAAAGTACACCCGTAGAGACAGGATGTCTACAGTATAGTTGCTAGGCAGACTTCAAAGTTCTATACATCTCGATAAGCTCGATATATGTATGACCTAAACATTCGTGTTTATGAGCGTTACATCTGTGTGAATAAGCCCCTGGTAGCTGACATAATGTCTTCATGGTTGTCTGAGGCATGTGTGAATCTTGTGCTCCTTCCTGCCTCCTCTCACCCACATCCACCTGTCCCCTGTCCTTTGCCCTCTGCCCCTGTCCTGCATCCCTGTCCTTTCAAGCCTCTCATTCATTGGAGCTGGGTTCGGGGGGGGGTCTACACTGAAATCCTCAGCATGCGTCGGTTGCCACCGCAACGGACTCAAAATAGATTGTTAACTGCCACTTGTATGTGAGTGTGTCTCACAAAAATGTGGACAGATGAGTGACAGGACCACCCTGTTCCAGAGGACGACCCGAAACTGAGCTGTTTTACAGGCTTCTTCAATCCCTCTCTTTGCATTATACAGAATGTTTTCTCTTGTTAAAGTTAACAGTCCGGAGACGTTTGCATGTCTCTGACTGCATGCATGTTAGTGTACTTTCAAGTTCTACAGTGTTATCATTTTTCTCCTACTGTAAAAAGGAAATTCCCTCAATGGCATCCACCTGCACCTGACATCATGGATGTATAATAAGAAAATAAGAACTGGATACAGCGTCAGTGGCGGGGTCTCGTTCTTTCCTATGAGAGCTGCTCATTGGCGCATGAAGGCAAAATGGCCCAACTTTTGAGAGAGCGAAACGTCACAGATTACCCGTCATGCCTGGCTGTCAGAGCAGAAGTACCCGTATGTGCGCTCATAGAGCATGCGCAGTTGAGTTGCCACTTAAGCCCCGCCCTCCGAGCTCCCACTCTCGGCTCACTAGAATGAATGGAGAGAGAAAATAAATCTAGATTCGGCTTTTAGTGCATTTTACAACTTTAAGGACCGAATGATTCTAATAAGGGCTATACAATAGTTTATACTGGGTAGTTTATTTAGTTAAAAAAATATATATCCGCTGATTTACAGACGTCTCTTTCCCCATGTTAGTCAATGGGAAAAAGTATTTCTGGGCCCAGTGACGTCACGGACTGATACGGAAGTTGCAGTACCGCTGTTTGGACCAAGCCCCCAGGAAGTGCGCCGGACTCTGATGAAAATATTCGTGCTGGCCAAACGGCGGTACTACACTTCCTTTTGGTTGCCAGGCCCGGAAACACTTTTTCCCATTGACTTACATGGGGAAAGAGTGGTCTGTAACTCGTTGGATAATTTTTTTTAAACTAAATAAACTACCCAGTATGAACACTTGTATAGCCCTTATTAAAAACATTCGTTCCTCAAGTTGTAAAAATGTGCTAATAACGTTATTCTGAGAGTTATTTCCCTCTGCATTATGAACGCGCATCTAACCCACGGGACCGCGCCGCCCGGCACGTTCATGTTACGTGTTCAGCACTACATGCGTTTATCTTGACCCATGGATGCACAATAAGAACGGACCCATATCGCCTTACTGCCAGCCCACGGAGCTGTAATAACGGATATATTGCACATGTTTGCTGTAATTCATCATTTGTAAAATATTATACTACATGGGCTGTATGATTAAATCTTGTACCGTAAATCTTGTATTAAATAAAGTTAATATTACCGACGTAGATTAACGTCCCTGTAGCTTCTTATTGCACTTGCAATATACCATTAAAGGAGTTGAACGTTGCTGTTTGCTATTACTATAATACCACGCAGGGATAAACCAGAGTTTACAACCTTTGCATGTGGGCACAACACGTTTTGACCCAGATTAATTAGCTATACCATGATATCGCCCGAGGAAGTCGTCATACTTATACATATATAAATAAAGATATATGTGTCAAAGCTCTAATCAAATTAACAGTTGTATTAATTATACTTGTATATGTATATATATATATATATATATATGTATATAGCCTGTGTTTTATATTTATACACACAAATGAACAACCTTGTGTGTGTCAAATAACAAGTTGTATTGTAGTGTTTATTTTAGTGTTGTGTTATGCTTATCCACATTTTGATTTCAGAGCACAGGAGAATGCTGGGCACAACATAAAGCTCAAAAGTGAAGCTGGCAATGCTGAACAAAACCATCTAGTTATAATATTTATTCAGCTGAAAAAGTCAAAGCTCTACGAAAATGTAATTAAAAATACATAAGCATTTTCA